CATTGGCTTTTCCTCGCGGGCCTGATCGATCAGCATATTCGAATTATCGACTGGCTCGTCTCGAATTTTCTTCCCGAAAGGGATTGGGCCGAACGCCGGCGAAGCACCGTAAGGCGTTATAAATACGCGTTACTTCCAGTTCCTTTTGACTTGCATTTTCCTAATACACAGTTTCGTGGCCGGTCGCGTTCTCCTTCTCTGCCGCGTTGGTATTGGGGACAACGGTCAAGTGCGCATACGCTCCACAGGATTGCACGTACCAGGCGGGTCATAACAGATTCCTTTCAATATGTCTTTGACGGGCAGCCCCTTTCAAATGTTAAGGAACAAAAAGACCTCGGCGTTCTAATGATCTCCTCGCTGAAACCATCATCATAGTGTATGCAGACTTTTAGCAGATGTTGCAGCAGCAGCTGAAGCTGATGGAGGCCCTGACCGTCAAGCTATCCAATTCATCCATGGGCCAATCAAGCGCGGCTGGTGGTTCACAATCTGTTGATCACATTGCCGGCAGCATCACTGAATTCCTGTATGACCCGCAGGCCCATATCACCTTTGATTCCTGGTACAAACGATACGAGGACTTGTTCTCTGTCGATCTGGCTGCCCATGACGATGCATGGAAGGTTCGACTCCTTCTTCGCAAACTGGGTCCGGCTGAACACGAGCGTTATGCAAACTTCATCCTCCCCAAGAATCCTCGAGAAGTCACTTTCAAGGACACGGTTGAGACGTTGTCGCAAATTTTTGGTGAGCAATCATCCCTCTTCAACACTCGATTTGCGTGCTTGCAATTGTGCAAACGAGATTCCGATGATTTCATCACATATGCGGGCATTGTTAATCGTGAGTGTGGGCGTTTCCAACTCGGTTCTCTCAATGAAAACCAGTTTAAATGCCTTATATTTATCTGCGGCCTCCAGTCCCCCAAATGTGCTGATATCCGGACACGTCTCCTGTCCAAATTGCAGCAGAACAACTCCACCACACTCCAAGAGCTGGCAGCAGAGTGCCAAACGCTGATCAACCTCAAGCACGACTAGGCAATGATTCAGAACCCTGCCTCATCTTTCTCAGTCCATACGGTCACATCGACCAAATCGCATCCTGTTACACGGACCAAGCAAGTGTCCAAGTCGA